AAAAGAGAAAAGTTACGTATATGTATATAATGACCGTATACATATATATGTATATATATATATATATATATATATATTTACCTTCGAAAATTTACCTTTTAGCTAGCTTTAGGCGCGATTTTAAAGTAAACGGAAGAAAATCGCTCGGAGGTATTTCGTCTGGAACACGAGACTCTAGTGTATTATTCGTAGCTTAAATAACGTTGTTAAAGAAACGCGAACTGTATCTCTACGTCGAATATTTTGCCAAAAAATGTTGGTTGAATTGAAATGGAAAAAAAAGAAATAAAAGCAAAACATTGGAAATACGTCAAAAGTGACAAGATTTATCCAATTAATACAAATATATATATATTATGTATATTCTATTTCGCAACGACGATATAATTTTCGAATAAGGAAAAAAGAAAAAAAGAAAGATCCATAATAAAATATAAACATAATATATCCCTGTAAAAGTAAAGAAAATTCTGAAATAATGATTACGTTTCTTCGAACACGTCGAATGAAAAGTTATAGAATTTATGGATTAAGGTAGGACTCGGTAAGAAAGAAAAAGAGAAAGATGAAGAAAGAGAAAGAGAAAAAAGTAAAAAAGAAATCCTTTGTCCTCTTTTTATTACTTTCAAGAAGTCAAAAAATTCGTCATGAAAACACGGCTTTAAAATATAAACGAAATAAATATCGAAAGTGTATGCAAAAGGATACACGTTTATGATATATTATGTAGATCGTGTTTTTTCTCTTTCTCTCTCTCTCTTTCTATCCATCTATCTTTCTATTTTTCTTTCAACGTGTAACGTAACCGAACGAGAGGATTCGCGTCGATGAGTAAAGGAAAAAGCTAAAACGGAATCATCCTCCTTGACTTCTTCTTCGTCGTCTGCTTTTCTCTCTCTTTCTTTTTTTTTTCTTCTTCTTCTTCGTTCTCATTCCTTCTCTCTTTTCGCGTTCCTCGTCTCTTTTTCGGTTCTCACTGGAATGCTCGAATTCGTGGAAAATACTTTTTCGAATCCACTCCTGGTGGCTTCCAGTTCACGCTCCAGTCTCCTTCGAGAGCTTTAGCTTCAGCATCGCAACAACCTCGACTCTTGCGTCCTACTACTTTTCTTATCCTCTCTTTCTTTTTTTTCTTTATTTTTTTTTTCCTTTCTTTTTTTCTACTTCTTCTTCTTCTTCTTTTTTTCCATCCTCCTGACGTTAGAAAACGTATAGATGCGACACGAATACGATAGACACCAAAGTGTCTATAAAAATGGGCCAGCAAAGGTATTGATACTCTATACCGTAACACTTGAGAGGATACAGACGCGAGTTTTATTGATACGAGTTTGCATAATTTCTTTTTCTTTCTTTCTTTCTTTCTTTCTTTTTTGTTTTCATCTATAGTACGACGGATGTTTTACAAGGAGAGAGAAAAAAAAATAATAAAATAAATGAATAAAAATAAAAATAGAAATAAAAGCTTTTCGCCCGTCGAATTTACGCGTGCTCTTAAAATATCAGATAATATTTTTATATTATATATTAATATACAGGTAAATATGTATATATATATATATATATATATTTCTTCTTCTTCTATTTTTTCTTTAATAACGAAAAATTTCTTCTACTTTCAGAGTAATAATCCCATAACATAATTGTTATCGATAAGGTATGGTAGAAATTTATTGAAATGAATTACTTTGACGAGTATTGACGATGCAAATTTCGAAAACGATTTCTTCGGGGTTTAACTTCTGCTTATCCTAGCGAGACTAACGGTGAAATGATATTCTCCGAAAGTGAAGGCATAGCATAGCGAAAGAAAATTAACTGGAGCGTAGATTCTCTACGGGTCACGTCCAACGCGCATCTAGTCGCGAGAGCAAGGAGCGCAAACTCATGTACCTTCGGTGAGCTAGCGTTTGTAACACCGAAGTGAGCAAGAGTGAGAGAAGAAGTGACTGAGTGTGTGTATGCGTGTATGTTTGTGCGTATATGTGAGATAAAGAGAAAGAGAGAGAGAGAGAGAGAGAGAGAGAAGACGTCTATCCAGAATCTTAAAGGGCTTCAATAATATCTGCATGCTACTTCCCTCGAAAGTCTTCCCAAAGTTTCAGCAGTTTACGATACGTGCTACGAGCAACATCTATGTATCCTCCTCTCTCAATCCACTTAAACCTTCTCCTTCTCACCCTCACTATCAGCACGATTCTCGTCTAAAGTCTGACGGTAGATGTATGCCTCCAAGCTATATATGTGTACATATATACATTCATACATATATATGTTACATATGCATATACCTATCTATACGTATAATGAATGTATATACACACATGTATAAATATATATATATATATATATATATATATATATGTACACGTATACACGTCTATCGTCTCTTCTTAGGCTGGCTGTACCAACTACCCTTCTCATAAATTATCACTCAGTGCCGGTGGCTGCTCCCTTCTTCTTCTTCTTCTTCTTCTTCTTCTTCCTCGGTACTTCTTCCAAGTCTTAACTTTTCTGCTTGATCGAGTAAAAGTCGTTCTCTCGATCGAGCAGTAGTCGACCGATCGTTTGATTAGGCACAATCCCAACGCCATTCTCTGTCTTCTGGTTTCAATCCCTCTTTCCCCCTCTCTCTCTCTCTCTCTCTCTCTCTCCATCTATTATCTATCTGTTTATCTCTATCTCACTCTATCTCTTCTCTTTTGCTGTCTTTCTCTTTTAGACTTTCCTTTCTCTCTCTCTCTCTCTCTCTCTCTCTCTCTCTCTCTCTCTCTCTCTTTTGTCTATGTTAGATAAGACCATCGAAAGTTTGGGTAACCGAGAAACCTCCTTGAACCTACTAGACGCCATCGTAAATCGAAGAGCTTTCGTGTCCGTGAAAACGGCATTAATCCTACTAAGAGAAGACTGCATCGTATCGTAAAACGTAAACTTCGTACTCGCACAGAAAACGCTCTTTAGGAATCTCGCGTTTAGTCTTACCTTAGTTTCCTCTATTTTGTGGCGACAAAGTGCGATTAGCTAACGGATAATTCTTGTATCATTATCCAAACGAAAGTGACTTTTCAGATTAACATATGTGTGTACATATGTATATATATATATATATATATATATATATATATATATATAAATACGCCTGTTAATTCTATTATCGTTGATTAATTATTTTCAATATATCGTATATTAAAAATCATGAAACACTTTGCAATATTGAAGAAAGACGGACAACGTGAAAATTATTATTAATGATTCGGTAGTTGGTTATATAACTACTATTGCGTTTGCTTCTAGCAAAAAGATATTTTCAGAGGTGGAAAAGTTGATTATTTCTGTTGTTTCAAGTGTAGAAAAAGTATATATATATATATATGATAGGAATATGGATGAAAAAGGTTGAAATTTTACGTAAAT